GTGAGTGTTGATAGTTGATCCAAGAAGAATGAAGTCCTTGACAACTTCAATCTTTTTTCCATTGATAAAAATGTTGTTTATTGGTCCAGTGATGAGGATTTTTGTTTTCTTTACATTGAGATGCAATCCATACCAAAGGCTGTGTTCTGTGATCTTCATCAGTAAATATTTTAAGTCTTCTTCACTTTCAGCAAGCAAGGTTATATCATCTGCATATGGCAGGTTAGAATTAAGTCCATTAGAAACCTGGAATTAACCAAACTGTTTGACAATAAGAGGAGTGGCCAACTAAAAGAAGGCGTATCAAAGTGATAAAATGGTATGTAGTGATTTCTTGGGTTGCACGGATATTGCCAGCTAATTGGCATAAAACTTTCTCTTTATCCTATTTGATCCTTTGTGATTTCACTTCCTCTTTACCCAGCTTAGTTAAAAAAAAGAGCTATCAATTTGGTAAGGATTTCCCGTGTTGGGTTTATAAAGCTGAAGCTTTGCAATTGTACTGCCCGGGGACCAAAAGATTCTCACAAACAGTTCCGTAGTTACCATCTCCTCCCACTGAAGCTGACAAAACTTGTTGCCTCATGATTTCAGATTAACTCCAACCTGATTTCTGCCCCACTGTTCACTTGAGATGTTCTTGCTAAAGTGAACTCCATTTAACTAATCAAATTGTTAGGCGCGATAGAGTCAGTTCTAACTCATAGCAACCGTGTATAGGGTTTCTGAGGATTGGCTAGTGAGCTTGAATCACCAAACCTGCAATTCAAACTGACCTTACAGTCCAGTGCATTAACCCACAGTTCCACACCAGGACACCATAAAGTCTTCATCTTACTTGGCTGGTTAGCAACATTCCTAGTCACTTTTCTTCCATTGCCTTCCACGGCACAACTTCTCCTTGGTCTTCTCTTTCTGTCTGGCTATTTCTCATCCTTCCTTACAGAGTCTTCCTCTCTCTGAGTCATGGAAATATTGAAGGCCTGTTTGGACTCTTTCTCTTTGTCACTCTTTAATTTGTCCATAGACAAGTGTATGCACTCTCATGGCTATTGTATATATCAGCTATGTGTTCATGTTTCCTTTCTCACCAGCCCAGATTGCTCCTCAGAGTTTGCAGTCCATATCCAACTTGACATATCTTCTATATTACTGTACAGATATCTTGAACTAACACTTCCAAATTTTAAATCCTAAAGTTTCCACTCAAAATGTGTCCCTTCCTTCAATGTGTCCCATCTCGGTATATGGCACCTCTATCAGTACATTTGCTCACCCAAATCCTCCATACTTCCAAACTTGGTCATGTACATCTTGAATTTGCCCAATTCTTTCCATTTCATTGTACCATCTTATCTCAGGCTTTCATCATTTCTTGCTGAACTACTCGGTTGCCTGCCAGTTTTAGTTTAGTGGAATTTTCCCTATTTCCATTTGACTATAAACTCTGAGGGCAAAGGCTGTAGCTGTTGGCTCACTTGTATTCAGTACCTTGTTTGGTACCTGGCACAGGTTAGGAGCTCAATAAATATTAATGGAATAAATAAATGTAGCAATTATAGTGATGAAGTATTTGTGATACTTTTGTTATAATGTTTGAGCAGAAAATTAAATTAAAAATAATTAAGTATACAGAAATCCTCAAAGTCGGTTTGAATCACAGGATACATGGTTCAAACTCAACAGATGCTCCTTGGAAACCCTACATAGGGTAACCATGGGTCGGAACCAACTTTACGGCACTTACAAACAACAACATAGGTATACAGGTTAATATGTGGTGTAATCCTGTGCTAAGATGTGTGGTAAATACTGGATGAAGAAGTCAGCATAGATGAGAGTTTAGCCATTTGTTGAAGATGAGTTAGTGGGAATGGTTTGGGAATCACTATCATGCTCAGTTCTCCTAGGCGTTGTTAGATTACATTCCAGTTAAAGTTAGGCTGAAAGAATTTGCTTTCTTCTAGTATGATTCTGTAGCCTAAAAGTAGGATTTACAAAATGGAAATGTAGGGGCTTACAAGCTTTCAATAAGGAACCTAGTTCCAGAGGGTACGGGAAAGGTAGAATTTCCAGCCTGTCTAGATGGGGTTGATAAAACATGAGGGGGATAGGATTCCTGTGGTTCAATAGGGAATGATTGCTATCAGGTCTAACAGTGAGTGTTGGAAAGGTAAATGTAAATGTTTTGTAACAAAAGGAAGGGAGTGGTTGATTTTGCAGGAGCAGAGATCTCTGGAACCATCAAGGGAGAAAAGCGAAGTGGAAGTGTGGGACCCTATCAGGGGAGGCAGACACCAGAGACAATGACTGGAGAAGGAGTGGCTGGGGACTCTGAATTCAGGGAGGGAGAGGGGCTGTGTGCTGGCAGCCGGGTTGGGGGGGGGAGGGGGTAGCAGGCATGTGAGGTGTACCCTTTGGTTGGTTATTTGATGATGCATGCAGGGGATTGTAATCATTGCAATGAAATACGATAGGATGAATGTAAAGGTAATGTTCTCCCTTGTAAACGAAAACATAATTCACAATAAAAACTTAAAAAAAAAAAGGAAATGTAGGGGTGACCCCTCAAGAACTGAAGTAGACTTTGTAAGCTTAGTAGAGGATCAAGGGAAAACAGAATCTTGGGTGACAGGTCAGGATGTTTGGGCAGAGGTCACCTTATGACAGAAGGTAGGCACTTCCTAGATTGTCTGGGACCATAGCTCTTCATAGAAAAAGGTTTTCTCTTTTTCTCTGCCCAGCTTCCTAATGCATAGCTCACCTTTTCACTAGTTACCATCCATGTACCTGATGCAAAAGGGGTCCACCATTATCATATTCCTTCCTTTACATTTCATCATTGTCAGGAGAACTAAATGCTCCTTTTAGGATGATTCATTATGAGAAAAGGTTGCTTTGGAAATATGTCAAGATTTTGCTTCTTTTGCCCTCTTGAATAATGTGTGTTGTTGTTGTTATGTGACGTGGAGTCGATTCTGACTCATAACGGCCCTGTACAGGGTTTCTGAGGTTGTAAATCTTTACAGGAGCAGAAAGCCTCATCTTTCTCCCACGGAACAGCTGGTAGTTTCGAACTGCTGACCTTGAGGCTCGCAGCCTGATTCATAACCACTATGCTGTCAGAGCTCCTTAATAATGTGTGTACCCTGACCAAAATAAAAAACAAAAATAACCCCAAAACTGGTTATATGTATGACCACACACACACAAAAAAAATGTCAACTAAAATTTAAGAGTAGAGAATTTCATAGACTACCTTCTTTAACTGTAATCTAATAACAGAAATTAAAAAATCAGAGTCTAATCAGAATGATACAGAAATGTATCATAAAAATTGGGAGATTAAGGTTGTTGTTATTGTTAAGTGCCATTGAATCTGTTGCAACTCATAGCAACTCTGTATAGAGGTCCTAAGGAACAGCTGGTGGGTTTGAACCACCAATCTTGTGGCTCGGAGTCCAGTGCTGAAGTCCAGAATCCTATAGTGCCACACCAGGAGAAATTAAGGTATACCCTCTTAAGTAAAGGTGCTCTGGTAGCATAGTGGTTATGAGTTGGGCTGCTAACCTCAAGGTCAGCTGGTCCCGTGGGAGAAAGATGAGGCTTTCTGGTCCCATAAAAATTTACAGCTTCAGAAACCCTGAACAAGGTCACTATGAGTTGGAACCAACTCCACGGCACACCATTACCACCACCTCTTAAGTAAATCCTGAATTGAAGAAAAAAAATTATGTCTTTGGCTGGGAAGATTTCATATCATAAATACATATAAAACTCCATTGAATAAGAAAAATACTTTTAGGTTGTCTCATTGTATGAAATATATACTTTAATCTTTTAGATAAAAGTATATATTTTTAGTTAAAAGTATCTATTTGGTACAACTCTGATTAGGCTCAGAATTTCCCTTTATAAAATGATTTTAAAGTTTAAATGGGAGACTGAATGTCTAAGAAATGTTAAGAAAATTATGGAAATAAAAATACAGAAGTAGAGATTTGCCTTCTGAGATATTAAATATACTGAAAGTCACAGTAGTAAAAGTTGGTGTCCCTGGGATAGAAATAGATCAATAGATAATTAGAACAGAGCAGAGTCTAGAAATAGATTCTACATATATGGTAATTTAATAGATGACAAAAGCGATATTTCAGTTCACTGGTAAAGGTTTTTTGTTGTTGTTTTGTTTTTTAAGTAAATGATTATAACATAGCTGATTAACCATCTGGATAAAAATAAATTTGGACCTGAATCTCCAACTATATATAAAAATTTGTTCCAGATGGTTGAAAGATATATGTTTAAAATATAAAACAATAAAGATAGCCGACCAATTTTCTGTTTCTCTATTGGGGAGAACTTTGTAACAAAGATAAGAGGCCCTGTATTTGATTACATAAAAACGCATCTTGTAGGGTAAAAGATACCGCAAACAAAAGTTATAAGACATATAATAGATTCAGAGAAAATGTGTGTCACATGCACGACTGATAAGGATTCATATCTAGACTATATTGAGAGCTCTTAAAAATTGATAAGAAAAATACACAAAGCAGAAAAATGGTCAAAGACTATGAATATGCGATTCACAGAAGAGCAAACCAAATTGCCAATAAAACAGCTATTTCTTTATATCAGTGATATACTCTCTGAGAAAGTTTCCTTCGGGTGGCAGGTCAAAGGGTGAGCTCACCAAAGGCTCTGTGATGAATGGAAATGTTGAAAAAACAATGGTTTGCTTTCTGTATCTCTCCATTCCCTGCACAGACTATTGTGACCATGGTGGAAGGCTTCTCTCCAAGACGTTCAGTGTGCACGGTGAGTAATGCTGACACCAAGAAGAGTCTCTGCAAGAGAGAAAGTCCAGCAAATCAAACCTGCAACTGCAGCATCCCAACCAAGGCAACCTACAAAGGTACGTACACTCTTTTCTAGTTTGTTGTTAAATGAAGAAGACAAGAGTCCCTCCTAAAGTCAGACTGCCCAGGAAGCATAATAAATAACAGGAATCTGAATATTCCCACCCTGTCTTAGTTGCGGTTCTCTGGATAAACAGAACCAATGAGATAACTCTATCTGGATCTGTTATCTGTATCTACTTGTATGTCTATGTTTAGAGAGAGATGGATTTACTTCAAAGAACTGGCTCATTCAATTTCAGGAGAGTTCAAAATTCTTAGGTCAGGTGATAGGAAGAGTGAAGAATGAATTCTATCAAAATAGCCTAGCAGCAGAAAATACCCCAGGGAAATTCCCTTTTCACTCTTAAGGCTTTCAATTGATACCTTGAGACCCACCATGTTCTGGAAAGTAATCTGCTTTACCAATGGGTTTAATCACATGTTCCATATCAGCAACCAAAGTAGTATTTGGCCATTGACTGGACACTATAACCTAGTCCTGGTGTGGCACTGTGGGTTAATGCACCGGTCTGCAAAGTCATTTTAGCGGCAAGGTCAGCAGTTCAAGCTCACCACCTACTCCTCAGAAACCCTATACAGGGTCGCTATAGATCAGAACTGACTTGATGGCACTTAACAACAACAACAACAACAACCTAGCCAAGTTGACACATAAACTACCAGAAACCCTGTAGTCTCATTCTCTCCCTACCTAGTTTCTGGTGATGGAGAGCCACCCTTGCCATTCCTTCCGTGTCTTGGAATTCCTATCTCCGCCCTCATTGCTACGTGTCCTTCTTCCCTCTGTGTGTCTCGGTGTATCTTCTCTTCCATAAGTGCACTCAAAACCACACTGCCACTGACTCTCTTCTGACTCATAGTGACCCTACCCTGTACAGGGTTTCTGATGCTGGAAACCTTCACAGGAGCAGAAAGCATCATCTCTCTGACAAAGCACTTGATGGTTTGAAGAGCTGACCTTGTAGTTAGCAGTCTAGTGCTTATAAAGTCTCTATAAGGACCCATCCTACTCCAGTATGACCACATGTTAACTGAGAACATCTTCATAGACCCTATTTCCAAACAAAGTCATATTTACAGGCATCAAGGGCTAAGAGTTCTGGTCTGTTGCTGCAGAATAATGCACTGGACCACAAGGTCGGTTTGAGCCACAAGGTTGCTGATTCAAACTCATCAGCTGCTCTTCAGAAATCTTACACAGGGTTGCTATGAGTCAAACTGACTCGACAGCACTTAACAACAAAAACAAGGGCTAGGACTTCAACCTATCTTTTGGGAAGACACAATTCAATCTATAATAACTGCACAACCACTGTGTGCCAGACACTGTGCTGGGGATGACAGAAAAGACTGACTTGGTCCACTACTAATAGTTTACTGGGGATAGAAAGAAGTAAGTCATTACAATGTTGTGTGTAAATGCCGGGGAACATGAATACCATGGGAAGCACATGAGAGGGGCTGGGTGAGGGGACCTGGGGAGGGGGGTTGTTTGAGAGGTCAAGGAAAGCTTCCTGGAGGAAATGATGTCTAAACAAACTAAAGTATGAGTAGGGTTGAGCCAGGCAAAGAGGAGGAGTAGAGTATTCCAAGAGCAAACACCTTGTATAATGGCCAGAGGCAAGAAAAGACTCTATCTGGGTAAGGTAAATGAAGTATGGACAGATGGGAAGAGGCATAGAGAATGGATACAAAATCAGGTAGCCAAGGAACCATCTAGAACCATGGACTTTATCCTGTAAGCTGTGACGAGATCCTGACAAGTTTTAAACTGGAGGTTGGCACAATAATATGTGTATTGGAGGCAGGTGCAATTGTGTCTTGTCTCTTCTATTAAAATGTAAATGCCATGAGGGCAGGGGCATTAGAAGGACAACAACAACAATTAGAGGATACTCACTGTGGGTTACTGTGTTGGACTGCAAGGTCAGTTTGAACCTCAGGGTCAGTGGTTCAAGCTTACCAGTTACTCCTCGGAAACCTATACAGGGTCACTGTAAGTTGGAACTGACTCAACAGCACTTAACAACAACAATACCATTAGACAATACAGGAGGTCTCATTATGCAGTGGTTAAACATTAGGCTGTTAACGTAAAGGTTGGTAGTTCGAACCCATCAGCTGTCTGGCAGTCTGCTTCTGTAAAGTGTACAGCCCTGGAAACCCATGGGGCCGCTATGAGTCGGAATTTTGCCTTGGAAAACAGCCTCATTCCCCGTTTTTTTAAGTCTAAAGAATGCATTTGATTGTAGTCCTTTAAATCTGGATTACATATAACATAGCTTCTGAAGTCTTTGAGCTGACCCTGTAAAGCTGGTTGGCTGCTGTCTGAGTTACCTAGAGCTGCCATACAGAAATATCTAAAGTGGGTGGTATTAAGTAGCAGAAATGCATTCTCTCCCAGTTCTAGAAGCTAAAAGCCCAAGGTCTTGGCCATGTCAGTTCCTTCTATGGGCCTCTCTCCTAGTTTCTGGTGACTGCCGGTGTCCCGTTGCACATAAACAGTCCTCACAGAGTGTCTGTCTCTCCTGTATATGTGTGTCTATGTCCATTCTGCACTTTCTGAAATCAGAACGCCACTCAGGTATGACCCAATTAACGTTACAAAGGAAACACCATTTTTAAACATCATCATATTTACAGATGGCTTAGGTTTCAGCACTTATTTTAGGGGCACACAATTCTATCTATAGCCATTGCTGTTAGAGCATCTATCAATTGTACCCAACTTTTTTTGCCTGCCCTTTTCTGAATATCCTTGCATATCCTACCCAGGGAAACAAGCTCACCTCCACCTCTTGTACTCAGCCCACCTGATGTTGTTGTTAAGTACGGTGGAGTCAGTTCCGACTCATAGCGACCCTGCACAGGGTTTCCGAGGCTGTAAATCTTTACGGGAGCAGAACACCTCATCTTTCTCCTGCAGAACAGCTGGTAATTTTGAACTGCTGACCTTGAGGTTTACAGCCCAATTCATAACCACTACGCTACCAGAGCTCCTTCAGCCCACCTGTAGCCATTGCCAAACCTTTGTCCATGGCCTTCCTCAGGTCTAGAGTGGCCCCACCGCTTTCACTGCATCCTGTTGCCCTTTTGCTTTGAAACATTGACAAGAAGTCAGCCCTGCCATGCAGTCTTGTTGGACTCTGCTCTGATTGTCCCAGTCACTCAAGCATCGTCTTGGTTCCTCAGAAATATCCCCATCTGGGTACATTGGAGCTCAAACCACACACATGGGATTTCCTTAACTATTATGTTACTGTTATGTTACTCTCCCAGAATAAATGGAAATGCTTCTAATGCAGAGATAATGAATATTAGTTTCTTTGTGGTATTTCCAAATCTTGTTTTGTATATACTTGATGCTCAGAAAAGTATGATTCTTACTAGTCTTCGTCACTGAGCGTTTGTAGATTCCAATGAAATGCATTTCCATTGGAAGTACCTCCGTACTTACTGTCTATATGTTCATTTTACTGACATTTATCAAGTGTCTGTTTGGATGCTCTTACTCAGAGGTCAGGTCAAACCTTCTTAACCTCCTTGTCTTTTGAACAGAGGATTATCATTTCACATTTACCCATCTGATGTAAGCAGAATTTGATGTGGCATTCTGGTTTTCAGAGTGAATTTTTTCACTGCACAGCAGCCCTGAAAGTTATTGTTATTAAGTACCATCGAGAGAGTTCCAACTCACAGCGACGCTGCATAGGATTTCTGAGGAGTGGCTGGTGGGTTTGAACCATCAACCATGTAGTTCAAACCAAACTTGCATTCTTGTGCTTTATCCTATAGCACCACACCGGGACTCCAGCCCTGAAAATAGGGGCTCTCAAACTTTTGGAACCACACACACAATTAAGTTATAATAAGAAAGTTAGGGGTACCAACAAAGTCCAACCAACTTCTTAGTTTGTCAAATAAAGGGACCAGTCCTTGGAAACTGGAGGGTCAGGCAAGAAGAGCAGCGTCCTCTACGCAATGGATTCATTCAGCAGCTGCAATGGTGGGCTCCAACAGAACAATTGTGAGGATGGTGTAGGGTTCCTAAGAGTCAGAACCGGCTTGATGGCACCTAAAAACCACACAATCTACTATCCCAAGGAGCCCTGGTGGCACAGAGGTATAAGCATTGGGCTGCTAACTGCAAGGTCGGTGGTTCAAACCCACCAGCTGCTCCAAGGGAGACAGATGAGTCTGTCTGCTCCCTTAAAGATGAGCAGTCGTGAGAACCCTGTGGAGCTATTCTACTCAGTCCTACAGATTTACTATGAGTCAGAATCGACTCAATGACAGTGTGTATATCTTCTATCCCATTCATTCTTAAAGATTTTAACACCAGAGTAGGTGACAATGATAAGACTTCATCGTAGATTACACAGGTTTCTGGACGAAGTAGAGTTTGAAAGGCATTGCTCCAAGTTGTTGTTGTTAAATGCCGTCGAGTCTGTTCCGACCCATAGCGACCCCTGTATAGGGTTTCCGAGGAGTGACTGGTGAGCTTGAACCACCGACTTTGCAGTTCAAATGGCTTTGCAGTCTAGTGCATTAACCCACAGCGCCATACCAGGAGTGGTGCTCAAACCTCATGTTTAAACAGTCTTTACCTGGGAGCTTTACAAACCACAGTCCCACCTCAGGCCTACTAAATCCGAATCTCAAGGGGCATGCCCCTGGAATCCGTAGTCTCATCCTTTTTCTCACACAATTCTGATCCATAAGTGGGTTGGAGAATCACTGCCTTGGATACAGTATGTAAGTTCAAGGAGAGAGAGGAACTGTTACATCTCCCCAATGCTGATGTAACATGGGTCTTATCCTTTTTACTTTATTCTTTTGGGGTTTTCTAACCAATGGGTAGGTTTTCAAAAGCAAATAAGAAAACGTTCATCCTAGATTTGGCGAGAGTTGAGTCAAGGACGTTTATGGATCCCAGCCCACGGGAAACACACTTTAGAGTTTGTTAGGTAAATATTTGTAGTGCAGATTTTTCTGAAGGTGCAGGATTTTCCTTCCTAGAATTCTGGTTGTCATGTTCTAGGCACTTCTTGCTCAATGACTTGCTTTATGCCGCGGCCAATTACAAGCTGAGATAGTGATCCCGGGGAGAGTTTAAGATGGAAATGGGCTGTAAAATGGCTTTTTCCTAGTGATTATCCATGGGGGGGCTTGGAATGCAAGTTGGGTTCTGGTCTGTTTGGAGCTTTGTGCTATACACTTTGGCTGCCTGGTGCAAATGCCCTGCGGGGAAGGAACCACATACTGATTGAAATGTGAGGGAACAGCTGGTGCACCCCGCCCTCTATGCAGAGGAGGCAAAAATATTTATTTTTTGCATCTACAGCTATGCTTGACTATAGCAGGAATCCACCATAAATGACTGTTGTTGGTTTTTTTCCTCTTCCCTCCAGATGTTTTGGTTGTCGACGTGATGTTCTCCTTTGGTGACTGGAATTTATCAGAGAGATTCAACTTCGCCAACTGCTCATCATTAGGAAAGTAAGAGTTTATTTGATATTTAAATATTCTCTCCTTGGTTTTAATTTTATTTGGTTGACTCCTCCATTTCCTAATTAACACTTTTGTGCAGTAGAACTTTCCAAAGTGCCTTTTGGAGCATGGCCTAACTGGAGATAGGAGAGCTGCTGAGTTCATAAACTCAGTGTGCTCATTCATGCTCTAACAAGTGAGGTGGAGCAGCCAAGAGGTGAACCACTGTTTTTCAGTGTTTGTATCAACAGGGAAATAGATTTTCCTTGAGATCAAGAGACAGTCTTGAAGTACAGTAGAAAGAAGGGTGCTGTTTGGTTCTACCCTGACCAGAGAGGCCTTGGGAGTTTGGGTAAAGGGAAAATGTGTGAACATAAGGTAAGGGGAAGGTGTACTCAGGGAGAAGAATAAGATGAAATCTCTTTCGCCAAAGGAACATTTGCATTGTCTCAGGTTTTTATCATTGTTGGCTCCTTGGGGTCTTGTACTCACTGAGTTAGGGCCCCAAGTCTTGTCTTGTCTTCTAAAACATAGAAAAGATAAATATTATTTGCTTGTCTTTTTAAACAGAGAAAAGACAAATATTATTCCCAGATTCCTGGTTTCCTAGCTGGAAGTTGGGATGGAGAGCTCTATAGAGACAATGGGAGGTTGTATCATTAGAGATTTTACACTTCAGTAATATGATTGACCCTCTAAATGGGTACCGAGTGTCAGTTTCTTTTGGCCTAGCCTGGGAACCAACAGAATCCCAGGCTGCTGCAAACAGTTAACACACTTGTCTGCTAATGAAAAGGTTGGAGGTTTGGGTCCATCCAAGAGGCACCTTGGAAGAAAGGTCTAATGATCTAATTTTGAAAACTCAACCATTAAAAGCCCTATGGATCACAGCTCTATGTGACACACATGGGGTCATTATGATTTGGAATCACTCCACCACAGCTGGTTTGGTTCGCTGGGAACCATTGTTTCTCTGGGAAAAATGTATTCAAACTCAAAGCTGAGTCGGGAAACACACAGCTGTTATCACAGGAGCCCCTGGAACTCATTCTTACCATTGAGGAACTTTGAAAGGGTGATGATTCAAAGCTGGGTTCAGTTAGCTCTAATAAATAGAATGAACTTAGGAAGGGAAGTACAAAAGTTGATATAGAAAACCGCAGAAGTCTATAGAAATTTATATATATATATATATAAAAGTGGGTCATTAAATAGAATTTTTATAGCTTCATGAGAATTTAAAGATATGTAGCTCACCTAATCCCTGGTTTTAGAGGTCAGATGAAAGAAAGTGAGTTGCCCAGGGTAACTCAGCTAGGTAATTAAGAACCAGAACCCAGACCCAAGTCCTCAAGAGAGTGAGTGCCTTTTCCATTAGGTAACTGCTTCCTGTTAGCAAAGAGCATTTAGTACCTTAATCACACCTGAGGGATAAGACTGAAAATCACAAAACCTGCCTGGAGCTCACCTAAGGGTCCAGATCAACACAGAGTGAAGGCCCAGATTTCTCCTCAGGTGAAAACTGCAGTTTTTGTAGACAAGAATCTCTGAAAGCTTCATCACTTCTTGGAGAGGAGACAAACCACGAAGTGTATTCTCTCTCCTTGTACTAGATTCCTCTCAGCACGGTTCCCAGGTCTGTTTCCACACCAACCTTGGTCTCCATTTGTACTGTTTCTTCTTTAACTCCGATAAGTGCTTTTCAAGTACTCCATTGTTATCCATGCATGACAGATGATTTGATTAGTAGACACAGTTCTCCCTTAATTTAATGAAAAAGCAAACACTGGCCAGGTTCCACTTGTTTCACATCTTCCAGGCGGTTGGTAGCGTGGCTGCTCAAGTGAGGAGGGCCTGCTGATGTGGGCTGGGAGGGAGGCAGATCGATCCAGGTGGAAACTTAAACCTGAGGGGAGACAAATAACAGAGTGATTCAGAAACTGTTTCAGTGGGTTCCTGTTATCTACTGATACAGCAGGTGACCCCAGCCTCAGGTTTCCATGGCAACACTCCTGCAGGTGTCATTATGGGCCATCCACCCTGAAGGGTGCCCAGAGCAGGGCCCAGAGTCAGTACTCTGTCCCCCAGCCTCAAATGACCATCCGCCCTCCCCTTCATCACAGCCTGGCTGGGGATTATTCTTATTTTCATTTCTTAAATGCTTGTGCGCCGTGTTGCAGAGGGAAAAAATCCTAGGATAAGAGCATTTTCCTAAAAACGTAGGAATTAAGCTGGTTTTCCGTGTTGCCAGATGCCCAGTGTGTATTGGAACTGGCTGTGCTTGGTGTACCAGTGAAAGAAAGTGTATCCACCCCTTCACAGCTTGTGAACCTTCTGCTTACAAGAGAAACCAGGTAAAGTGACATTTCTGGTATGACAAGGTTTACCCAATGAGAAATGTTTGTGATCACCCAGCCCCCAACCTGTCTTTTGGATTTATTGAAAACTTTGAATTTCCCACCCTGAATGTTGAAGGAGTGCTTTTCATTTCAGGAATTGTGTCAAGTTGATGTTGAGAAATGGCCACCATCCAAGATCTCAGGAGGAGGAACAATGAAGGAGACTGAGAATCGCAGAACTGACCAGGGCTTACAGGTCGGACCCCCATGTTTGTGTTGACTATGAGAAAATCCCTGTTTAAACCACACAAACAACCGTTACTCCTTGGTGGTGGTGGTGGCTGTGTGCCGTGGAGTCGGTTCTGACTCATAGCGACCCTGTACAGGGTTTCCGAGGCAGTAAATCTTTACGGGAGCAGAAAGCCTCATCTTTCTCCTGTGGAACAGCTGGTAGTTTCGAACTGCTGACCTTGCAGTTCGCAGCCCAATTCGTTACTCCTTGAGTTCCTTTAAAAAAAAAAAAAATTCAGATTTTACTTTCTACCCAGTTCCCTTTTTTTATCTTTGGTTTTTAACCAGGTTTCAGTTAATTGGCTCAATACATCAAAGACCGCACAGTCACATAAAAGAAATTAAAACTCTGTAATTATGAAAAATGATGTTGTTCAGGTAGAAGTTAAATCTTAAAGGTGACTTTGTGGCTTGATTCAGGAAAGTTAGGAAGAAGTATAGCACACATCACTGAGGGGATTTTGCTTCAAACCACATGTTAGGGTTGCATTTATGAGAGGTATGAGTATGTTTTGTTGTGTTTATGAGCAAAAACCAGGTGGGAACCATGTCTAACTTCCCCTGGATTCACAACGGGGAAAGAGATTCAAACTCAAAATTAGCCCAAGACCGGTTTCCTATGAATTGGAGGTCAGACATGCCTCCACCCTACAACTTTCTTTATCCTATTCTGATGCTGACTCGATGGCACCTAAACAACAACATTCTGATACCAACCATCCCTCCCACAGCACTCTCTGCTTCACATTTGGGTCCCACAGTCCATTGCAATGGCCACACAGAACTCATAGCAGTACTCAAGATTATGGGGTTTATTAGGGAAGTGAACAGGGTACAATTCAGGATCAAAGCCAACTCAGGACGCAGCAGTTCTCCAGTCAGGAACGCCTCTTGTCACGCCTCACTCTTGCCTTCAGCCTCTCAGCTATGTGGTCCCTGGACCTCTGCCTCAGTCTATGGGTCTAAAGCCTGAAGCTGCTCTGTCTCTCTATTCCACCAACACTGCCATCGCCTCTGCCATCACATCTGCTGTCCCTGTTTTCCTAGGTCGGGATCTCACATTCCGCTCATGCTCTTGCTTCTTGATGGTCCTAGGATCATCAGTGCCTACTTCTGAGATGGCTCCTTTTAAACCTAGCTGGATTTCAAAACTAACCAATCCCAGTCTTAGAGTCCTATATACTTTATTTGCATGGTCCCACCCAATCACTTGGTAGGAATTAAGAAGACATTGGCTAGAAAAGCCATATCAAGGAAATTCATAGCAGACTATGCAAAATTGGAAAACGAAACTCTATTATCTTTTTTTCTTTACTTTGTAGAGATGCCTAACCAGCAGTAGTTGTTGTTGTTAAGTGCCATTGAGTTGGTTCCAACTCATAACGATTCTGTATAGGGTTTCCAAGAAGTGACTGGTGAGTTTGAACCAGTGACCTTGTGCTTCAAACTCACCTTACAGTCAAGTGCTTATCCTACAGTGCCACACCAAGACTCCTAACTAGTAGTAGTTGTTGCTGTAGTGAAGTGCTGTAGAGTCAATTTCGACCAATAGCGACCCTAAAACAGAGTTGTCATAGAATACATAATTCTCTCTCCTTCTCAAAAGTGGTTATTGCCCCCATAGAATGAATTTCCGTGGGAATTCCTTTTATTTATTTTTTTCATAGTAAATCACCAAACTCAACTGACACACCTGTTTGAGGAGATGGGGGTATGGCAATGTAAAGTTCTAGAAATAATGTAAGTAGCTGTGTTTAGAGGTCACATAGTGATTGTCTCATTCAAGTGACAGGAGTTCATTGAGCATCTACTATGTGGTGAAAAACAACAACAACAACAATTTTTCTCATTAACTTTGGAATCTACTGTGAGTCGACAAATTAAAAATAACAGCCTATTAAAAAATAACAACCTCCATTTTCTATTTCATGACTAATCTGTGGCCTGACTTATCCATTTGCTGCTATTTTAAAGGTCAAGTGCCAATGAGTAGCACATTTTTAATAATTACCAAAAAGTTGATAGTAACCTTAAGTGAATTAAGTAAAAGGCAAGCACATATGAATCAAAATGAATTATGAAGTTAATTAATGGCATTAGGAAAGCGTGCTGTGCAAATACTGTCTCTGAACGTTAAAAGGCTTTGAGGTTTTTATGAAATGATGGATTTCTGTTGTTCCCATTGGTTTATAAAACTAAGACATAATGACCATGATCTGGATCAAGGATGCAACAGCTTTGTTATTATTGAGCTTTTTATTTTGAAATGATTGTAGGTTCGCATGCAATTGGAAAAAATAATGATTGAGATCCAGGAACCTTTTACCCAGTTTACCTCAATGGTAACGTCTTGTAAGACTATTGAAAAGTATCACAAGCCAGATATTGACACTGACATCGTCAAGATACTGAACATTTCCACAGACACGAGACTCCCTCATGTTACCCTTTTATAGTCACTCCTACTTCCCTCCTGCCCCTCACCTCCTCCTTAACCCTTGACACCATTAATCTCTTCTCAATTTCTAGAATATTATGATGCAAAGATTTTCATATAAAAGGGATCAGACAACATGTACCCTTTGGAACTGTGTTTTTGTGGGGGGTTTTCCCCACGCAATGTAAAAGAAGAGAATACCAATTGTGGGTTTTTCCCCCCCACTCAATACAATTCTAGAAGACTCATCCAAGTTGTGTGTATTGCTGAGTAGTGTGCCAGGCAGTCATCTCTGAAACTTATTTTAAAGAAAAAAATGTATACGGTCACTCCCCACTGGATTTCCTATGTTCTGTCTCCCTGCACCTTTTGAACTCTGACACATCTGTGGGTTAAAAGAACTAGAGTCACCAAGAGAACTGGAGGAGGTTGAGAATAAACAAAAACCCACATCTGTGTTTGGCGCTTCTCTGCAGATTACCCCCTTCATTAGGAGAAAGACATTTTGTTGATCCTGAATTTTTTTCCTTTAAATATATGACTCATCAGAAGAGAATCTCCATTTTGGATGATAGGGAATAGAGCGTTATTTGTACCCCCTGGCTGTCTTGTGCTCTGTGAAACAGTGCTGTCTTTCATCAACCTATAGAATGTGTCACTTCGGGATTTCTAGGGTTTGGTTCTTGTGTTGGCCTGACTGAAGCACCCAACCTCTTTGTAACTCTTTTCCTAAATGACCAGCCCAGGAATGCTTTGTTTTAATGTCTGAGTACAGAGTGCTTCCTATGGGCAGGACTGGGGACAGGAGATGTAAATGGTGCTGACAATAGTGTCAGATAGTAATGACGCTGACTTTGGGTATATTCTTATGAGATGCATTTCTTAAGCACCTATCTGATGCTTTTATATGGAGCCGGATACCATGAAAAGAATACATGAATGAACCAGATGTATCTCTTACCATCAGTCTCAAGAATCTTATACATGAATACATAAGTAACAAGATGTAAAAAACAAACAAACAAGTTATTAGCATAGGATAAGTACCACCACCACTACCACCCACAAGTGGATTCTGACTCAGTGACTGTATTGGACAGCGTAGAACTGGTTTCCAAGGTGTAAATCATTATGGAGACAAGCTGCCTTATCTTTTTTAACCTGTGCAGCAGCTGATGAGTTCAAACCTCCAACCTTTCAGTTAGAAGCCCAAAACTGCACCCACAGTGCCAGTAGGACTCCTTAGGAAAAGTACCAGACACATACAACTTGTGCCCCAGGCCTCTGTGTTGGTCATCCATGTATGTCTAAGCCCACTGCCTAGTAGTTAAAAATACTTCATCAGTGTAGTTGGTTAAGTCCTTGATTGATGAACGGATTGATTGACAGAGATGGTGTTTCAACCAACCTTTGAAGAATGAGAAGCATCCAGACATATAGAGATGGTGAGGAAGTATTCTAAGCTGAGGGACTAGCATAAGCAAAATTATAATGGAGAGGAAGAGGCTAGAAAGTTCAGACCATACAGTATAGGAAATCCCCAGTAATTCAATTTAGATGGAGCAGAATGTACAGGGAATTATGGGATGCAAGGTTGACTTGACCTCAGAACCCACATGCATAGGACTTTACATACTAGCCATATGAGTTCTGGCTTTATTCTTTAGTAACAGTGGAATGCCATTTAAAACATTTGTTGGCTTACGTATTTTAATGTATGAATTTTCTCATCCAAGGACGTGGTACTTATGAGGTCGAGCTCCTGTTCTACCCAAGTGTGGGCCAGTTATCCTCATAGTTTCATGACCCTGGCGTAGTGCTGCAGGTTCACTGGGCTGCAAATTCAGTGTAAACTACAAGATCAGCGGTTCAAACCTACCAGCCGCTCCTCAGAAACCTTATACAGGGGTGCTATGAGTCGGAATATACTCGACAGCACTTAGCAATCACAACAATGGTCTATCCCTACACCCTGACCCAAAAATGTGTGCTGTCGTTTACCAGAATTACTGCATTAAGGAACACCATCACCCAAACAGGGAAATGAACTGAAAAATTACAGCTTTAAAGGCCAATCTTTCTCATCTCCCCTGATCTGGCTTTCCCTGCCTCACCCTTTCAGGAAGTCCATGTCAAGGACCATTGGCCCTGCCGCCCTGCCTTAACTACATTTCCTTCCTTTTCTTACCAGTCTTACATCTGGTGCCTCTACCTGAGGGGAACAGATGCGCTGTCCTCTTTCCTGACTTCCAGGAAAGGATGCGATATGATGCTCCTCTAATATTTGTTATCTGTTATTCTTCACAATACGTTATTGCTCTAGGGCAGTAATAAAACCTACAGAGACATGTCTGCTGCTCTTCAGGAATTTACAATCAAGCTCTTCTTTCTTTTCCTCAAACTCTCACTTCTTTCCCTCCATCACTTTTTGAATGGGCATTTTAATTTCACACAGGCAATACAAATGGACTCTTTCAAGGATCTTGCTGTAAAAAGTGAAATTAAATGTAGCATATACCTTGTTTTGT